CAATTCTTTTCCTGGGCCTGGATAAGTGGATTCCCAATTGGTTGAGTTGCAGTATATTTTAGTCTGGTTGCCATTGTATTGTTTTAATTGGTTTTTAATGTATTGTGCTGCTTTTGGATGGGTGGGGTATATTTGTTGTTGACTTGTTGTACACTGCCCAGCGTCATTTTGTTTGAATAGGGTGGATATGTATGTGTGTGTGTGTGTGTATTATAAATAAATGGATGGATGGATGGATGGATGGACAAGAATTTGTCTTGATTCCAGGGGATAAGTTAATTGGACAGTTCCAATTTTCTGAAGATGAGGTGGAATGCAGCACTGTGCATATAACATTTACACACAAGCCAGGAATTCTCCTTGCTACCATTCCACATATAGCTCTGCCATATTTCTCCAACATTTGCTCCAAAAGATTAGAAAATCCTGCAGAGCCATTTTTAAGGTAGAAAAATGGCCTCCTCTGTAGGATTCACTGATAGAAATACCCACTAAATTTTCCCAGTTGGATCCTTCTAGAAAGTGAGAGCATGATTTGAATAATGATATTTGTTCTTACTCTTATTAAGAGAATGATGAGGGAGGTGTTCAGTGAGCGAATGCAAACCCAGAGCCTGTTTCTAAATGAGCAGGGAAAGAGCTATTTCCAATTTCTAAGCAGGAGTGTGGGATGTTAAGATATCTGTTACTTTTCAAAAACCAAAGGTAGAATTTTGTATACTTTCTTTGAAGAACATAAGAAATTATGAAAATACTAGCTGCAAATACTAGCTGGAAAAAAATCTGATATCATTTTGTTGGCTTCTAAAAATCAGCATAATTAATTCTTCTTTACCAATATATTTTATTTGAAAATTCAGTGTAAGATGAGGTAGAATACTCATGACTCACATCAAACACAGCTCAATTAAAAGTGCCTCTCTCATATTGTTTTATGAACTAATCAAAACAATTGTAACTTTCTAAGATTAATACATTTTAAAAAAATAGTTCTGAGAAGACAAGTACAAACAAACTTTCCCTTTCCTTTTTAGCTTCCTGTCCAGCATTAAACAGGAAACACACGCTCTTGTGATAATAACTCCCTCTACTGCCATACAAATGTTAATTATGAAACAGCTTTGGTGTTCACTTCAATATGGAAAGCAACATTATCCATTTTATCCAGTTTTCCTTTAGAGATATTAATATTAATTGTCTTCTTACAAATTGTAGGTCTTTTTTCAATTCTTCTAATTACTATTTCAGCATTTTTACTGTGTAAAAATGCTGTAAAAAACACAATAATGTATTACCTTGGCTAGATGAGTGTTGATCCACTTTGTGAAAGTCCGCTTTTGCACAGATTCTTGTTCATCTGAAAAAAGGAAAACGAAGTAAAAAGTATGATAAACTGGTCTTCCAGACACACTTCTCTAGTGCCATGAACAGATATGGTCAAGTTAGCTCTTTATGATGCACGTATGGTAAACACAGGGGAAGGGGGCATGTGACCTTCTCCAGTTTTTGCTGTCACTATCACTACGTTTAATTTATGAAAATAAGTGTTAGCCCTGCGAGGTAGTCCAGACAATAAGCACAACCAGGAGTGCTAGCTCTATCTTTACTGTAAGATTACATTAACAGAATCTCGCAAGACTGAAAGTGTTTCTTCCCTCCTTTCCTCTTACTCTCCAGAAAACTAGGGAGGGTCCCCTCTGAAACACTTCCCACACCTTCCCTCCTTCTGTGGGCTGAGATACCCTTAACACACCAGTTCTCCAGTCTGTGGCTCTCCCTCCTGTCTCCCAAGATCATTCCCATATACCATTACAGTAAGCCAGTTATCCCATGGGCAGGGAATATCAATAATCTGTCATTACAGAATAGGATGTAGCAATGGAACTCTCTCTGTGTATATATAGGTCTGTAGATAGATAGATAGATAGATAGATAGATAGATAGATAGATAGATAGATAGATAGATAGATAGATA